GCCTTCTGGACATCCTGTTAGTCTTAACATTCCGATCACTCTCATTCAGGTGCTCGGACTCACAGAAATGATATTCACTGGAGGTTTTTGGAGTTTTTTGTTCATCACCCCATTCTCTGCAAAATCCCAGAAGGGTGGCTGGTTCAGAGATGCAGGTGTTATGCCGAAAAAGGCATCCCTGCCGTAGAATGCATACCGGTGTTCTGACGAGTTGAGCTTTTAGGGTTTTTGGGGGGGTTAGGGTTTTAGGGGTGTTTTGGGAGTTAGGGTTTAGGGGTTTTTTGGGGGGTTAGGGTTTTAGGGGTGTTTTGGGGGTTAGGGTTTAGGGGTTTTTTGGGGGTTAGGGTTTTACGGGTTTTTGGGGGATAAGGGTTAGGGTTATCAATTAGCACTACGGTAGCCTAACTCGACAAAGTAGCTCAACTCGTTTCAGATCAGCGACCAATCGGTCATTTAAGAGACAGGCATGCATTCTACGGCAGGGATGCCTTTTTTGGCATAACACCGGAAGCACCGTGTCTGGCACCCAGAATTACACCGCCTGGCAGCCTTTCAGTTTAAAAGAAGTCTGTAAAACCCGAAGTAGTTCAGTGTCCCCCTGACATGGATTTGATGGTCACCCTAACCTCAACCCATAACAGTCTGCTAGCCTGAGCGATAACACCAAGTCTGTTTGTTACCATTTTCTAAACAAACAATACTGTATTGCAGAATTACATATCAAATCCAAAGGTTTTTCAATAAAATACAAGTCATCTAAATTGTGTCCCTGTATGTACAAATTTAAGTCACTACTATACGCACTGGGAGCACTATGCTTTGGACCCATCACTCAAAATGCACAATAATTATAAAGGCAGTGAAAAGTCTAGACAGCTAACCCGAGTGATGCAGGTTACCATGACAAAGATGCACGGCGTAGCCAAGGCAAGATTTTTATTATTAAAGATGGAGTATGTACTTACACTAACAAATAGTATGTATGACTAATATTTAAATAATATATAATTTTTGCGATCCAAATCAGTTCAGTATTATTTTTGTTGTACGCGTCGTCTATCTGCGACAGTGAAAGGGTTACAATTTCTTCAAATCAGCAGCACAAATCTTAGTTTAAATTAAATTAATAAAGCGTGTAAATCACTAATAAAAGAACAAAAACAAAACCACCCTACATAAGTTACCCACTGCATAACGATTGTCTGCTCCAGTCTTTTCTGAAGCCTCCCTGCTCCACAACAGAGCAAGACCTGCTGTTTCGCATCAGAAGTTTGCCAAGGGAAATCCCTATTCCCCTCGGTGTTATATCTGTACATTTCCCTTTCGTTTCGCCCTTAATTTCATATGGAAGTGGTTGTTCTTGAGTTTTTTCGTCGCCGGTTCCTTTCGGGTTTTGGTTTTGCACTTGAAAACACCCGCAGAATTTTATCAAGCAAGCTTCACTCGCTCACGTAACGGGATTGTTCGCTAGGAACTGTGGGATTTGGTGTTGGATGTATGGATTCTACGCAGACGGGACGTGAGCTTAATCGCACGATAGACTACAACTACCAGATACCATAGCGATTCACTTTAAACGCAAACAATACACAATCTACTTCACACAAACAAGTGGCTCTCTCACAAACATAAGATGGTAAGACACAACCCCGTGCTGGCCATTTCGCCCCCGTGCCCACTCGGGCGCTGTGTAAAAATTAAAAGAAATGCGCTATCTTGTGTCAGGACAGTGTAGGAGTCACAGATATGCACAACGATGACCTTGGTCCCGCGTCAGTCTTCCACAGGCATTGTTTATGTTTCCACTAGACATCAATAGGGAGTACACAACACGTGACGTCAGAGGATGTCTACCAGAATGTTTGACTCAATGGTGTACAAGCAAGTACAAATGAACAAACAAACAGTGTGTATTAACCAGTCATTCTGTTTCTTAAGTACAGGGCAGAGGATAGTTGTGTGAGAAGGGAGGCTTTTACACCCATAGCAAGTGGCTTGTTACTGCATTGTAAAACAATACACAGGTCCAATTCAGTCTCGTATGCCTTAGTTTCTGTACCCACATTTTTCCTTCATCAAATTTATTCCACAAAAATGTGCAGTAATGGGAAATGGGAAAATGATATAAGTTTTTATGTTAGGTTTGTAGTTTTTATCATTTTCTAGGTTTATTTCTTGATTCAATTATTTTATGTTAGTTTTTTAGTTTTATGTTAGTTTGTTAGTTTTACCATCTTCCAGATATATTTTTGCTTTTTATGACAATGTTTTTATTCTGTGGCACTTTGAGATTGTTTTAAATGTGAAGTGCGATACAAATAAAATATATTATTATTATTATTATTATTATTATTATTAAATAGAACATAGTGCGGTAACAGCAGCACAATGCCTTCAGGCACTGTTAACAAAACAAAACAAAACAAAAAGAAACCCCAGAAGTGCCTTTCTCGAATATCCTAATAGGACTGCTTTAGTTAAATGTGACCAGAAGGTTGCTGGATTTCACAGCTTGCCCCCTGAGCAAGACCCTTAACAGCAAGAGACCCTGACTGTTCATATGCCAATCCATCCATCCATTTTCCAACCCGCTTGTCCTACTGGGTCACGGGGGGTCCGGAGCCTATCCCGGAAGCAATGGGCACGAGGCAGGGAACAACCCTGGACGGGGGGCCAGCCCATCACAGGGCACACTCACACATGCACACCTATGGGCAATTTAGCAACTCCAATTAGCCTCAGCATGTCTTTGGACTGTGGGGGGAAACCGGAGTGCTCGGAGGAAACCCCACGACGACACCGGGAGAACATGCAAACTCCACACACATGTAACCCAGGCGGAGACTTCAACCCAGGTCCCAGAGGTGTGAGGCATCATATGCCAATAAAGAATGTTAATATTTGACCAAATCTGAATCAGTTATAGAAAACTTTAAAACAGCATATACTGCATAATCTAGCTGGAAATTCAGGTCAATGTCAAACTTTACATGTTAGAAATTCAACAAGCAAAATATACATTTAAAAAAAATATAATAGATACCTATCACCTTTAAAACAGCACATGGGTATAGTCTTTAGCATGTAAACTTGGCTTTCTGGAAGTCAGGCCAAACTTGGAGGAGCTCCGCAGGGTGGAATCCGATCACCAGCACACGTCTGAAATAAGCACACCTCTCATACTCTATGTAGCGGATTTCAAACAGGTTGTGGAATGAGGTGAAGCTAAAGGCGTACGTTGGCTTGATGCCCAGGATCCGCAGACATAACCCCACGTATACATCTTCAAGTGGAACTGGTGGTGCGAATTTAGACGCCCACAAAATCTTTTCGGCGAGGTCGACTGAAAAAACATAACCGGCCCCAGAGACATAGGGAGGAAACCAGGTGGCAGGGTATACATCCTCAGATATGTACCACCTGCTTCCTCTGTTCCTCCGTGGGTGACCATCGTTAATCACCGACCCCGTGATGTAGTTTTGCTTGACTGGGCTTTGATTGTGGATCAGGAGCTTTCCGACCAGGCAGTGCACGTTGAGGAAGGTGTCTGCATCAACCTTCATGGCATAAGAGGCTCTCCGGCAGTTAGAAGCTAACCAGTTCATCATCATCAAGGTTTTAATGGTCAGGTTGTGATAACTGTCCAGGAAGTCCAACTGGACAATATCTGCATGCTGAAGTGCTTCACTTTCCAGGTCCATTTGGACATGATGACTGTCCTTTCCAGTGGGAAGGCCCGCAAAGAAGAGCCGTAAAATCTCAATGTTGGTTATTTGGTCCTTCTGCCCCCACGTTTTTCTGATTACGTCTCTAGAAGCACGGTCACCTGGAGCCACGGGAACCATCAGCACTAGGAATGGACTTCTCTCCCTGCACTTGTCTGGCTGGTTGAGTACATATCTGTACGAAGATGGAGAGATTAGCTTGTAAAGGTCTTTGGAGGTAGGTTGTAGGCTGGTCATTGGGCTTGCATTCCAAAACGTTTTCAAAAAGAAACTGAGGAAGAAGGTAAGCAAAGCTGCTGAAATCACGACTGTGAGGATCATGCGACAGGACCACCTTACCATTTCTCCGTAAAAAGAGATTCAAGAATTACTACAAAACGTATATCTGCTTGTCCCATGAAAAGTCCGTGGTTTTTGCTTTTCGGTATCCGTAAAAGAATAGTCCCGGAGCGCTTCCTACTTCTGTTCCAGAACTTCCGCATGAGCACTTCCCTTTTTACAGTCTGAAGTCCACGTACAGTTTCTACGTGAATGAAGAACACGCGCAAATTCATTGTCAAGGGATCGGACACCTGCAGGTCGCAGTTCAAAATAAGATTCAAATAAATAGAAAACATCACGTACACTACACGCCCGATGTTTTTTCATGTACAACGATAAACAGCATGTCAGAAACGCTTCATGGGTTACCTTAATTGTATGAAATTAAGATTGCTGTTAACTATTATAAATACTGAGTAGCAGAAATGTAATAACCTATGCTATTTTAATGATTATAAAGATTATAAGACTCAAGCGTTTATAAACGTGAGGACGTATTTGCTACATTTTTACATACAAACATGCAATTTGGGACCGCGAATGTTGTAACAACAACAACAACAAATTTATTTTTGTATAGCGCATTATCACAACATTACATCGTCTCAAAGCGCTTTACAGTATCCCCACCCAAAGCCCCCAGTGAGTTAGCCATAGGCGACAGTGGCAAGGAAAAACTCCCTAGAAGGAAGAAACCTTGGGAGGGACCAGACTCAAAGGGGGAGCCCATCCTCCAGGGGGCGGCAGGGAGAGTCAAATACAAACTGGAATAGCAGTGTTGGCAAGTCTCACGCAGTGTTGCCAACTTAGCGACTTTGTCGCTATATTTAGCGAGTTTTTAGACCTCTTTGGCGACTAGTTTTCAAAAAAGCGACTAGCGACAAATCTAGCGACTTTTTCTAGTGTTATTGGAGACTTTTGGAGAGCAGCGAGTGCTACCGTGGTCTCCCCTACCGTCCCAAAGCATTCACAGGCGGACAGTCCTCACGCAGCAGCCCCACCCAGCTGCAGTCATTGCAGGACATGTTCACTCTTCACTCTTCCAGAGTCCAGACTGCAAATGATTCGCGCATGCGCGAAGCCACCACTGGCTGATCCCAGACTTATTATTATTAATGCCCTGGCTTATTGCCAAAAACTCCGCCAAGTAAACAGTTAAATGACAGTTTTCAAGAATAGGTAACTCCGCCAGTGTCTCTTTGGGGTCACTTCTGCCGGTCCCAAGCCCGGATATAAAACAAGAATCGACAGAAGAAAGTTCATTTGTAGTTCCAAACGTATTTAGGGTGTGTTTAACCACCTTGTCTCTCACACGACATTATTCCTCTCTCCTACAGCGTCCATTATAATTACATGCGCATTATGCAAATTAGGCGATGGCGTCATTTAGCGACTTCTAGCGACTTTTGGACAACCAATAGCGACTTTCCTTGCTGAGGAGTTGGCAACAGTGGTCTCACGAGATAAATATGCAACCTCACTTATGAAAACAAGCCCAAAATAAGTCCACTGCGCAAAGAAAGATGGAAAAATCAAGCCCCCAAACAAGCCCAATAAACTCGATTACACTGAATACAGTCAGTCCTGTGTTTACCATATTATTTGTGTTCCTTGTAAATATAGCACACATACAACAGTAACTGAAATACTGGAGGCATGGTTTTAAAGTTTCAATGTATCGTTTTCTTTTGCTAGTGTGTCACTAAATAACTCCTTATTACCCCCAAGCCATTTTGAGTTTCCAATTAGGCCTACTCTGTCTGGCAAGTGACGAGATTTTCAACACTAAAAATCAGGGGTGAGTTTCCCGAAGCCTTCTTAACGCTACGTCGTTCATTAGTTCTATCTTTTAACACAGAACTTAAGAACGACGTAGCCTTAAGAACGCTTCGGGAAACTCACCCCAGGACAATAGGTGCCACGTACATTTCATGCACACGTGTCTGTAATCTCCACCAGAATTACGGTGTTGACGTTGCAGGACTTTGCGCTCACTTTAAGCGGTAGCACTAATGCTAGTACTGTAAAAACTTTAGTAGCATAAAGGAAAAACGCTTAGCACAACAACCCAGTCAGCACAAGTACGTCGGCGCTACGTCGTTGATACGTTTTTTGAAAGGTCAGCTTAAGTAGCCTAGGGAACGGATTGCGAAACTGTGCTGAACCCAGGCGGGCTCCGTAGTATTATAATTATTACCGATATCAAAATTTCTGTCATTTTATAAAAAAATACAATTCAGTTAAAAAGCCTTAAATTCACAATCTCAAAATAAGAATCAGGCCATAATGACGCAGCCCGCAAATTATAAGCGACTTAAGAAGAAAAAGCCCAAGGTCGCTAATAATAAGCGGACTTGGCAACACTGGTGTTTAGCGGCCAATGAATTTATCCAAAGCAATTTACAGGCAGTACTTGCTCATCTGTCGTGTTAAATTGTTAATTTGGATTCGGTAACGTGATAAAATATGGACATCATGGTTGTGGGTTTGAATACCAGCCCTGCTTTGAGTGCGTAGACTTTGCACGTTCTCCACATGCTGTGAGAGTGTTTTCTGCAGACTATTTCTGCCATTGAGTGAAGCCATGTTGGTGCTTCAAAAGACAAACATCCTGTTTGCGGTGTTCCTTGGCCACATGCACGTGTTACCTGCTATGAAAATATGAGGTAGATATTTCTTCATTCAGGCTACTGGAAGCGCTCATTTTCATTCATTTATTAATTTATTTGTTGAACCTGTAATTTCTTCATTTATTAATTCACAAGACCAAAGTTGACTCAGTAACTTAGCTTCATCGTGTGGAGGACCTTTGAGAATAGGCAATAAAATTTTGCTGAGCGATTTGTGAGTTGGCAAATCACGTTTATTTCATTTAAGTTTTTGTCTTGAGCACTGTGCCCTCCTGGCGCGTTTGCTGAGCTGACAGAAATCTGTCCAGGTAGTCAACAGCTGCAAAGAGAGCAGAAGGTGCTTCCACAAACATGGGCTATTTATTATTTATTTTTTATATTTGCCACGACAACAATCCGTTTAATGAGCCTGATACGTCTTGATCTCAATCTTTGCACTTTACTAATAAATCTGACATTCAATTATATATACTATATTTATTCACAAAGTATAATATTTGTGCTTATTTTTATAATTTACCCATTTGTCTTAATTTACCCTTAATTTATTTTAGCTTAGTTTAGTTCATTTTTAGTGTTTTGTTTAATTCTATGTGTACTAAGAGCAAACATGCTGCACCAATTTCTTTGTATGCATGCATAATTGGTTAATAAAAACCTCTAATATATACTCAAATTCTGCTAATTAAGCGAGAAAATAAATGTTTGCTTTTATCTGTCAATTTCTAATACAGAAAAAAATGCACATTTTAGTAGCTGTATAGGGTCAGAGGGTAAGTCAAAGATGCAGACGGCATTTTTTAACAAAGTTTGTTTTATTGTAATGTGGGTTACAGAAAATGCCTGTTTTTCACTGTTAAAAAGGAAAAATGGAACAAATAAAACACAGAAACAAAAACTGCCCTGTAACTAAATTTACACAGATTTTCAATAGAGTCAGTGGATTAAGCTAGTGGCAATGCCTGTATATAAACAGATGCCTGTATAAGAGCGTAAAGCTCTTTCTTTGTTCCGTCTAAGCCTGTATCTTCTTGCCAAAGGCGGAAATGTATACAGCTGTCATTCATATGTTTTTATTAAGGATTTTACCATCTGAAAACATCTCAGGTTATGACATTAGGAGAAGTGGCCCTTTTTTTTTGCACATTCAGCATAACCCCCCTAACCGCTGTTTTTGTGTACATTGTATAAAGCATCTTGAAAAAGAAGTCCCATGTTAGATTTTGTTGAATACAACAAGAAATATATATATTTTTTTTTTTCTGTGCCCTGAAGCCAATACCTTGAAAGTGAAGGACAGTAATTGCAAAGCGATGTAAACTTGAATTCTCTTTGCAGTTTAGTGTGGAATAAGAAGAAACAGTAGGTCAGATAACAGCGGGCGGTCACTCAGTACTTCTTTTAGCCCCAGTTCCGCCCGACAGCCTCCTGACGCGCCGCTCTCACAGCAGCGCCTAGGGGCTGCACGCCATCTTTTGTCTTACATTTCCATGGAGGTGGGAGGTAGGGCTGAGGTCGCACAGACGGATGCAGATGAGAACTCAGTACCGCCCTCCCGGAGGGTTAACAATGTGTGATGAAGAAACAAACTGGAACACGCTTTGGCTTCAGTCCAGTTTTCTTTTTCTTTTTTTTAGTAAGTTAAGAGGGAGAACAAAATAGACGACTGACATGACGAGATGACTGGCATGACGAGATGACTGGCATGATGAGATGACTGACATGATGGGATGACTGGCATGACGTGATGACTGGCATTACGTGATGACTGGCACAGCCAGGATGGGGCTAATTCTTCGACAACATCACAACAAGCACCACTGGATTACAGAAAACACCAAACTGTTTTTTTCTCTTTTTTCATAAATTTAAAAAACACCAACCCTGAAGCATTTACACCCCACTCTCAATTCATTTGGAAAAAATCTTTTGTTGTGGGTTTTTTCCACGTGCATTTATGAATGAAAATACTCTGACAGGACAAGACTCACATGAAACAAGAGAGCTGTGTGGCAGCTGTGACTTCTGTGTCATGATTAGTCAATTGGGTTTTGTCAAAGGTCTTGTCGCACAATTTGGATTGATTAATTCTGGACTTCAGCACTGAGGCTAAACCAAGTTCGACGCATTCAGCCAATCGAGTTAGCAGGAATATTAAAAATGACATGCCGTCAAATCCAGAGGTGGTTAGTCCAGGTCCAAAGAGTCCAGACCAAGATTTCATTTCAACCAAGTAGTTGAGTACTCTGTGACTGTAACTCTTTATACTCAGCGGGTTGGTTGAAATAAAATTTTGGTTTGAACTTTTACTTTCCGGACCTGAATTGCCCACTTCTGGTCAAATCAGAAGTGTCTGTTATACCTCACAATTGATTTATAAATGTTTTTGGGATAGGATGAGGGTTCACGGTGCATCATGTGATATTAGCAAAGTTGTATTTTCTCATAATGTGTCTCTCTGAGGGAACCCAGCCTACTCAAGTGGGAACGAGATATGCTGCTTGAATCGGCATTTTCAGGCAGTCGCCTGATTGGAGGGATGACAGTGGAGGTGGGCGGGGCTTTTTGCAGTGGCTTTGGTAACCCTGGGTGGGGAGGAGTGTAGACTGAGCATAGGCAGAGGTGAGCAGACGGGCTATGGAGGAGGAGACGGAGCATCAGGGCGTCAGCGGCCTTTTACGATCTTTTCCTCCTTCCCTCTAAGTTCCTAAAGTTGGATGGCCTGATCTTCATTTCAGCGAACTCGATCGAGTGCTCGTGGCCTTTCCAGTGGAACCAGTTGACACCCTGAGAGAAAGCATACGTTGAGATTTTAGGTGTGGCGTCCCCCCTTGTCAGGAAGCCCTCATTGTGGCCCACATCCCAGAGACACTCGTCCTTTCATGACCACTAGAAGCTTCAACAAGATCGCCCTCCCTAGACAGAGCGAGGTCCCGGTCAGAGCCAAGGCAGTAACACTCACCTTGCTGTGACTGTCGTCCCCGTACCGTCCCATGATGTTGACGCGGTGGCAGTTCTTGTACCAGAAGGCGCCCTTGTATGACAGGGCGCAGTTGGTCACGGCAATGTCATTGTCAAAGTCGTAGGTGGAGAAGGGGCGACCCTGGTGGTAGGTCATTGAGTCACCTGGGGGGGGGGGGATCAGCACCAGGTCAAAGTCATGAAAAGCTCTATAGTAAAGATACTATGGATTTTTACTGTAAGTTATTAAAATTGGGCCAAGGGACACCTATAGGTTAGAGGGCAGCCATGACAGCCTCTCCTCTCCCGACCTTAGCCATTAGTACAGAGAAAGGGCCACCCTACCAGCAGTGCCACTGTAGCCGCCCACGTGTAGCTTGTAACGGCTGCGGAGATCGGAGACGCTGAAGCGGTCGTACTGGGCGTAGGCGTTCTCTCCCTTGTCGCGGAGGTCCACGCGCAGCTCGTACTGGCTGGCAGATGTGATCTTGTGCAGATTCTCTAGACCTGGGTAAAGAAAGCAGAAGAGATTCTGCCACCCACATTCCGTGACTGCTTCATTTATATATATATATATATATATATATATATATATATATATATATATATATATAAA